ACTTCCCAAACAATAGTACTAAACTGTTGATGTCACATTGATAAACCTGTAGATAGGAACTATTCTGTAACATGACAATACTTCCCAAACAATAGTACTAAACTGTTGATGTCACATTGATAAACCTGTAGATAGGAACTATTCTGTAACATGACAATACTTCCCAAACAATAGTACTAAACTGTTGATGTCACATTGATAAAACTGTAGATTGGAACTATCCTGTAACATTAAAATATTTCCCAAACAACACTACTAAACCGTTGATGTCACATTGATAAACCTGTAAACTGGAACTATCCTGTAACATGAAAATACTTCCCAAACAACAGTACTAAACTGTTGATGTCTCATTGATAAACCTGTAGATAGGAACTATCTTGTCACATTAAAATACTTCCCAAACAACACTACTAAACTGTTGATGCAAAAATCATCACGTGTGATAATAGCCTTATCATACAGACCAAAGCATTTCATTTATAGATTCCAAACATATGCAACCTATAAACAATCCAGTGCCAGTACTATTTATTCTTCCTAAATTATGGCTAAAACAGAGTATGGAATTGAATTAAAATTGGTATTTTATACAAATAATCATGTTATGTGCATACCTGTGAGTGAAGTCAAAACTGAGACTTTTCACATGCCCGGCAAGTTCTCTACCAACTGAGCTAAAGAGTTAGCTCCCTAGCAGTTGCTAGTAAAACACTTTTAGCAGTTCAAAAATCTAATTTCTTCCCTTCTTGCAAACAAAACCTTATTTCATTGTAATGGGATGACCACTTGCTGGGAATCAATTGTTGTTTAGTAATCCATATTTTTTTTGTATCTCCTTGTATTGGTTTTGAGATTTCTCATACAACAGATAAGTGTGTTTTGCCAACTAAGCTAAATAGCTAACTGACAAGCAGTTGCTAGTAAAATACTTTTTTATAACTCAAGCTATCATAATTGTTGTGCTCGACTTCTATTTAGAAAGCTTTTGATCATGTATATTTGATATGATAAAAAAAACTTGTAGAGAAAAATTTTTTCAAATTAAGGCTAAGTTTGAGTTCATGTAGTTGCTGAATCTCACGTGATTCTTCCAGAATATTACTACATTAGCTAGTGCTTGAGATACTGAAAAAAAACCAGAGTTTTAAAAGAAAATCAATAATCAGTAACAGAAACTATGAGCAATTCTAAATATTGGCAGAAACAAATCATGCACCAAAACTTTTGTACAAAACGGCAACAGTTTCTGAACAGTTTTAGAAGTTTTTATGAGATTTTAAAACTTGGTGTTACGTTATAAATAATCTTTTATTTTAATATATATGTCAGATGAAACAGTTCTTTTTATATTAAAAGAACAGTTAAGATTGTTAACATATAAATAAACAGTAAAAAGTATTGATTTTATTCTAATGCTATGTATTCTAATCCATCAGATGTGCTGTTATTGCGAGTTTTATTAACATGATTTGTTCTTTGTAATAGCTGTTGATTTCAGTTGTCAACATATTTTGTGTTCTTTTACAGAGACATAAAAGCTAATTGTAGTTTTCAAATATTATTTGGTTATTAAAAGTTTTCTATTGTTAATGTTCAAACACTTAAGAATTGCTTTAAATTCTGTAGTTGATTAATAAAAAAAAATTATGGTGATTATACTTCTTACAATCAGAGCAAATTAATAATCTCTGAAAATTATTACTCTCTTATAGAATGCTCTAGTTAAAAAACGTTGTTATGTTTGGATATTTTTTAATGAAAGATAACCAAAAAATGTGGAGCTTGTTTATTGTTTATAATTAGGAAGAACACATTTTGTGGAATCCCACACCAGAAGTTAGAGCAAGGAGGTTGAAGAGATATACTGTACTCTTGGAACTCCAAAATGAGTTTGAGTCTGAAAGGTTGGTTTCATACTGCCTACATATAGGGTGAGCCATAGTGAACTGCCCACTAGTGAAAAAATGAAGGAATATAACAAAACGTTTATGTGTGATTAAGCTGTATTTGCATGATAAAAAAAACAAGTCTAACATTAAATGTATTTGTGGTTCTTTGCTACGATTATAAATACAAGTGTGATATAAAAAAAAAAAGTTGCTTGAGACTCAAGAGAGCTAGTATATTCTTAGTATCTCTATTAGTGGGGTAGGTTCTTTGAAGCTATAAAAGATGATATTTGGGTAAAAAAAATTTTGGCACAAATGTTTTTTAAAGATAATTTTTTATCATTTTCTACTTAGCAAATAAATTGCTTATGTTGACTAGAGATGACCACGTGGTCACCATTTTATTTGTTTTTAAAATATGGAGTAATTCCTGACAGAACCCATTTAAATCAAATATATTGTTAATTAAATAATGCATACATACTTTACCTTCACTGTTGACAGTAATATTTTTACATTAGACATATTATCACTACAATTAGAAATAATTAAGTAGCCTGTTAAACAATTTATTTATGTACATTGTTTGTATAGGATAAACATAGAAATAATATTCACTAAAGATTTGACTCATAAGAGTATTCTGAAGTGATGTACTCACTAAACAGTAAGCTTAACTAATCTGATTTGATGGTGATTTTATTTCATTTGGTGTACATTATTAATAAAAAACACCCCATGTTTGCAAATATTGTAACTCAATAATCTATTAAAAAGTAGAAACACGAAGTAAGAAAATAATTCAAATCTAGTTAGATGTGGAAGAGCAAAATGTATGAAAGAAATAAAAATACCCCACAGAAAAATTATATGTCAACGTGAATACAAAATTAAACAATGATACATGGAAACTACGGGTGATTGCTGAACAATTTGTACCTAGCTCTCTTTATACCTACAAGAAAAGAATTAATATAGCAATAACTAAAGAACAAAGATGAATCTTATACACTGAGTCCACACTTTTTCCAACTCCTTTTGAAAAAGTTTAAGAAACCCCTCTTTTTTTTAAATTTAATTAAATATTCTGGTAGTTTCAAGATATTTTACAGGGTTATATGCATATTCTCATTGTTAATGGGCATCACAGGATTGCAAAATATATAATATTTTTTAAATAATTGGTATCAGTGATTTCATATGACCAAACTTTACTGGAGAACAAAACTTTTAAAGAAATTTTTAAATTTTTTTTTTTCAATTATTCATTAGTCACTAATCCAATGTGACATTAAAATTGAAATTCAGAATTTTCAGTGATTTATGTTTGTATGTTTTATTTAAAATAACATTTTTGTATATTTATTTCTGTATACATTTGAATTTCAGAATATCCTAAGGGTTTGTTTCTTTTATTTTTACAGGTACATTTTTTATTTATTTCCCTCCATGTACTAATTAACATATAACTTGGATTTTTAAATCAGTAATAAATTAAAAAAAACCTCTAAAACTGTACTAGTTTAAGAAAGTACATAAATTTAAAATGAATAATGACTTTAAAAAATTAGTACATGAAATGTTTCAGCTATTTTTTAATAAAGCTTGTTTGTTTGTTTTGAACTTTGCGCAAAGCTACACGAGGGCTATTTGCACTGCCATCCCTAATTTAGCAGTGATGCACTAGAGGGAAGGCAGCTAGTCAACACCACCCACTTACTACTCTTGAGGTACTATTTTACCAATGAATAGTGGGATTGACCGTCACATTCTAACGTCCCCACGACTGAGAAGGCAAGCATGTTCGATAACAGGGAAATCTTTGTAAATTTCAATATACACAATGCACCACAATTTTCAATGATATTTCTTTTAGAACCAACTGGGCATTCAAAGGTGTTGTTTTTCAAAGAAAATATCTAAGTGAATAAAAAACTAGTCAACTAAAATACAAAAAAAAGCTAATCGATAGCATAGAACATGTGTTCATTTTGCATTAGGAAATTTTAGGACTTTTATCAGCACACCTGCCAGTAATCAGGCTACAGTCAACCAAGGATTTTGCTCATCAAGTTAATTTTTTTTAGATGGTTGTTTTGTCCAGAGGGCATGGATGTTGTCTGCTTTGGTTTGAATAGTAGGTTTGACCATCACATTATAACACTGCCACAACAAAAAGGGTGAGAATGTTCAGTGATGGGGATTCGAACCTGCAACTGGCAGATAGCGTATCAAGCATCATAACCACCAGGCCTTTTTAATAAAGACCCTAAACTTACGTTAGTAATCTCAGGTTACTAGTCATTGGTACAGTCCAACAATGAAAGCTACCCAGTAACCCTTAATATTCCTTGCATTAAAATCAATGTTAACAAAAAAAATCTGGAGAAGGATAGATAAAAGTAATATGGATTTCACACAGTCGTCAATGTTTTTACTCACTCGGCATATTTATAAACCCATTCTCCTGTGATTATGTCCTGGAAGAAATTCTTTGGAGACCATTTTTCCATTTTGATTTGTCTTTCTTTTGCAGCCTGCCGCTGAGCCTCTTCAAGTAATGTCTTCTCTTCTGTTGCTGCCACTTGGTCACACTGGGAAATAGCTTCTGATACTCGCTGCCATAATCTAAATTCATTAAAAAATGTATTTATAGTTTAAACAAAAGCAACACAAAAATGTTTAAACAAATGTATTTAAATGCAAACTAGAAAAATAACCACATTCACAACCCATAAAATATATAGGTAAGAGATTTAAAATGCAGAGATAAAAAATTAAACTACAAAGTTATTTCATTAGATAAGTTGGTATCATTACTTTTCACACATTTCCTATGATAAATTGTAGATATACAAGTTCAGAGCTTTACCTTTCTTCACAGCTTTCAAATATAACAAATTATTTATTCAGGGATTAAAAGTGGAGCTCCATATTGGATATCTTTTTTTTTTGTTATTTGTTTTATATGTAAAAGGACTGAAAAGATAAGGCTCTTTGAATTAAAACACCAGACTTCCACATATCTAACTATACACTGAGCAGGTTAATATGAAAGAAAATTAACAATGGTAGAAATTTTTTATTCACATTTACTATTTTTTTCACAAATGTAGTTTCTCCTAGCAAATCTTGAGCACAAGATATGTTCTCTTTTCTGCCAAATTAAGGTATGGGATTATTTTATAGAATATCACAACCATTTCAAAAATTATCATGTATACACCTTTATTTCTCAATTTTTTTAAGGTAATAATGAGCAACATTTGTTCACCATTTCTACTTCCAATTAGGGCAAGCAAGCTGTGTAACAGTTCATTTTACCGTATAGTTCATACAGGTCAGAGTTCTGGGTGATGCCCAGAACCTATTTTGTGATGAAATATTCCCATTATTTACTGCTATGATGATCAGTTAAACCTTAAACTTTTGCAACTTTAATTCATGTTCCAATGATCAAAATTACAGACAAGTTAGTAATGGAAATTGGTTATTCAACGAAGTATTTAGAGAAAAATGTTTATAATTGCAATGAATAGACCAGCTGGTCACTTCATTAAATACAAGAGGCAATACTTGTACAAATTAGTTTCTTAGTGGTTCTCAGCCACTGATTCAGAGGGAAGATCTCAGGTGGTCCACAAAAAGGTTGAGAAAAATTTGTTTGAAAATATAGCTACTGAAGTATATTATATAACAATATAATATAAAAGTATTTTAAAAAGTTAATATACACAAAGTGGTCAGTGAAATTTTGGAATCAGAACTAACTGGCTCCCAGTTGGAAAAAGGTTGGTCTCTGTTGCAGTAGGACATATTACTAACCAATCATTTACAAACAGAGTATTTTAGAAAGCAGATATGAAATATTATGCATGTTCAAGAACAAGCCTCTGCTTAGACTTTTTTTTCAAAATTGATGCAGGCTGGAAGTTGTCTGCACTGTGAAAAAAAAACATTCTTTCAATAAATTGTGGCTAATAAAGAGAAATGATAATATAATGACAGATAATATATTAAATCAGTAAGATGAAAAAGTTGGGTTTAATATAATTTTTATTTTATTTTATGAAAATTGCTGAACAGAACCTCTGGCTTGCACTTAAGCACAAAGACGTCTTACTACATCACAAGGTTTTAACTAAAATAAAACACTTTCAGATTCTTTAACAGCAAACTTTGATTTAATGCTGAACATGAAGGTTATAAAATGATTCAAATGAATATAATACTCCATGAAATCTATATTGTATTACATGACCAGATTCTTTACATCAATGTACAATGATAACTTACAAGACATGTATAACATAGCTCATGAGACTGAAAAGAAATACAGAATTTTTAACATGATATCATTTGTAGAAAAAGTCCTTAATTATTAAAGACAATTCTGAGAATGTTATCATATACCTGCTTCCTTCCACTTTACACTAGATCATGTCTTATCTATGTCCAACTTAGGCTCCATCTAAATCAGTGGTTCTTAACCTTTACTGCTCCATGCCCCACCTCGACACCTTAAAAAATTTGATGCCCCCTTAATATAAAAACGAATTTAGTGTTGAAAAGGTATAATAATAATAATAATATAATGTAAAATTCACAAATTTAGTTTTGAGTCACGGAACGTTTTTTGCTCTTCACACCCAAATGAAAAATTGTTCTTATTGTAGCATTTTCAAATTGCCCCCCTGTGGGGCATATGCCCCACGTTCAGAATCACCGATCTAAATGATTTCACACACAAAAATAATATCCAACAAAAGAAAACGTCTATTCTATGTGATTCTAAGCACACTAGTGTAAAGTTTACACCATTAAGGCAGACTTCGAAAGGTTTATTCTACACTTCTGTGTTGGTCCTTTTCAATCATCTGTCATTACACTTTAAGGAATTAATTCATTCACTTCTGAACAAATAAATTCGGCTTCAAAAGACATTGCGATTGGTTGGCTGTCCATGAAACAGTCAGTTGAAAGGAACCTCGCATACGGATTTAGGGTTAGCTTAAACACTAAAGGAGACAAAACAATCTTAACTGGAGCATATTGGTTCTAGTATTTTGTTTGTCTCAGGCCTTCCAACATTTCTCTCATTAGATTTGAATGAATTAGGTGGATTGCCAATTTGATAATAGATATGGTGAAAATCCCACAAATTCTTATCCTTGGCTACAGCTGTAATCTTTTCGTATCTTATCATTACTTGTACATTTTGATTAGTTCTTACAGTTTCACATTTTTCATTACTTCTGGCTACCCGCTCTAAATTGACCATATGTGTAAAAGAAAAATGTGGCATTGAAATTGTATTAGTAGTGTATAGACACAGCTTATAGTATAATCAGTAGCTTCTTTTTTCTCTAAATTGCATTTACTTGGTTAAATTCAACTACAGTATTAATATTTTAACTATTTATTACATGTTTTTGTCATTTCTTTGTTACTTTTTAATCTACATAAACATTATTTCCTTAATGTACGAGCTATACCATCTCAATAATGAACTCCATAACCAAACAGTAACATGCTGTATCCATTTATCTCTCATGTCAAGCCACTGTTGGAGCCATTTATTGGGGTTTCTTTGGTCACTTGACATAGGTAGGAAGGGCAATATATAGAGATTTCCCGAGATAATTGTGTCATGCTTTTCAAAGGACAAGGAATTAGTGATATTCCATTGAGCAAACAACTACTTTTTACGAACCCATTCTTTCCTCAACTTTAGTTTCATCAACAATATAGGTTAAATGTTTAATATGTATATTATTTATTGATTTTTTATGATCTTTCATATATTTTATTACATCAATACATTTTATTGAGCATAATTTTGCATTTTTAGCACAGTATACAGATTTAGAACTGACCTACATCAGTCATTCTGGAAAGAAAAAAAGGGTAATTCATATTTTTCTCTTTTTTTATGATGGTTACATGGTCAGTCAAATTGACCAACTTCTTAGAGTTAGGGTTAATAAATTAACAGATGAAATATAAAGTTTTATAGATTATGAAAACGAAATCTGAGATTGTTTAGATGGAGAAAAGTATTTTTAATCTTAACATTAAAATCACATTGTGCTCAGAGCACTCAACACTTCAACTCCATATGTTCATGGAGAAATTTGTAGTGAAAATACTAAATTAAAAATTAGGATTTTTTTGTCTACAAATGACTCTTAATGGTTAATGAAAACTTGAGAAATGTCATGAAGATATACAAAATGTATTAGAAGTTATAGCATGGAAACTATAAAGGTCAGTTTGGGGTCACTAACTTGGCTAAGTCCATAGTGAGAGAGATAATATTAAAAGGTTAAAATTCAAGGCACTTGTGTAAATATAAATAATTAACTCTCTCAAAGAATCAACGTTGTTTAATTACATAGTTTAAAAACTTTATTTTGGAACCATCAACAGTTTCAAAACAAACACTCTACATGTTTTAATGTTCAATCACTCCTAAGGATGATGTGAATGGATGTCAAAAAAAGGAAGAGTGTTTTGAAACTACTAATGGTCTCAGAATAGTTTTTAAAATGTGTACTTAAAAAAATTATATGAATGTTTTAATTATTTGATTATATACTTGTGTCTATTGCCTCCCAGTGGCACAGTGGTATGTCTGCAGACTTACAACGCTAGAAACCGGGTTTCGATACCCGTGGTGGGCAGAGCACAGATAGCCCTTGTGTAGCTTTGTGCATAATTAAAAACAAACAAACTTGTGTCTACAAATTCAAAACCAAAAGTCTATAAAAAAAATTAGAAATGTGCACACACACACATGTAATTGTAAGATGACTTGTTAAACAGAAGATAATTGTGCAAAGTTTTTTTGCACCAGAAAACAGTGGTGCACAATAGAAAAATCAGGATAGTTAACTTTTCTAACTAAAATAAATTGATCTACAATAGAGATTAGATCAACTATTACTAGACTAAGTTTATATGGAAACAAGTTTTTAACACTTTCACGTAGCCTCTTCAGTCCAACTGTTATATAAGTTCAGTAGTATGTAAATACACAATACCATGTAAAGTAATTTGAAATAACATTTATACTTGCAATTATGGAACCACAAGTATATATATATGTGGAAACATCTTTCGGCACATTCACATGTCCTCTCTAGTCAAACTTTTGTTTGTGAAAAAAAACAACAACACAGAGCTTATTTTATAATGTAAGTTCCAAGTTGCTTCAGAGCATGAAAAGGATTCAGCTTAAAGTGACCTTCACAAGTATTGAAGTTTGTCAACATTTGGATTAGCAAACTTACCACCATTTTGTCTGTTTTCCAGTTTACACGATGATCAAAATTCCTCATGTATAGAAAAATAGCATTATTTCTTTAGCTATCTTTAATTTTTTTTTTATGTTCTGCAATGGTATCAAAATTTGTACCCAATTTAGCAACATAAATTTTCTTGCAGGATTGTCAGGATACCCTGCATTTTATCTTGAGGTGAATACTTGTTTGAGGATAAAAAAAATTATGATGGCACTGAGATAGTTATAAGTAACTCTAAACCATAATGCTGGAACTGTAGTATTTTTTGTTTTCACATGTGGATGATGCTGGTTTTTATTTCTATGAAATGTTGAGCTTACCTTTTGATGGGCAGTTTTTATTATATGATACTGCAACTATTCTAAAACTGGATAAGTATTTTTGATTTATTCATCAAGGATCACATGATGACACATTCTATACTCTCTTAAGAACACTGAAGTTATATTTGATGTTTTAACCATTATGTGGTGGCACAAGAAAAAAATGAACATAGCTTAAGGCATTATTGATTTTCAACAGACAGAACAGATCCTGTTTTTGTTCTAGTTATAAGAATGTCTCATTCCATTTTAAACTTAATAGTACTGTGAAGCTTGTTAATCTTCTGGAAAAGGCTTGAAAATAATTTCTATTTTTTGGTCAAAGGAGATTTCCTTTGTATTCAAATCTGCTGTAGGAAGTAATTAATTTCTACAATACTCTGTAAAAATATTATATAAATTGGTGTTAAAGAGTTTCCCATAGCCATTCCATATTTTTTATCCTTAAAATTATCTCATACATGTAAATGCATTATGTTCAACACACACTTCCACTAGGGAGATAAAAATGTGGATAGACACAGGAAGCAAAATGTTTGTAGCTGGGCAACATAATCGATATAGGTGATTACCTGTGGGCAACAATTACATCTTTTAATGTCATTAATCAAAAATAACCACAAACTGATTGAAATATTGCTACTGTTTGTTCTATTCACTGGTGCTACTGAAACAAATTTGAAAATGGCTACAAAGGAAATTTAAAAGTGATTGGATAGAGCATGAAGTAAATATATAGGCATAATCGAACTGGGGTATTAAGTGTTTTACACTCACATAAAAGAAACCTATCATTCTATAGGTATTTGAAGAACTTGTAGCATTGGTGGTAGTGTCCAGGGTCACTGAGGAGGAGTGGAATTATCCGAAACTAGTCTAGCTCACAGACACACACCCCAATGAAAGAATAGACCATTTCAGGCTTTTACTTGTTGTTAAACAAATGTTTAAATAACTCTATTTATTCAGTATAGGCATAAGTTTTTTATAGTTTCTATAAATGTTCCGTTTGTTAGCAAATTGTGAAAGTATTTGTTTGTTAAATTATAACTGTTTGAAAGCTACAGAAATTTTCTTCAATGAGAAAACATCACATAACTTGAGATAAGGTAAGGTTATACAGTTTAAAGATGGGTTGAATGGGCAACGAAGAAACCGTTATTACAAGTGTAACACACTAACAAATGTACAACATTTGGAGAAGGTTTTGTCATCATCAGGTAGAAGCAGTCTGTCTAGACAAAGATATACATAAACAGTACAAAACAAAGAATTCACATGACTAATTAAGACGTTTAAGGCTTAGTACAGGTATCTCTTTGATCTTTGTTTAAAATTACAAAACAAGAATTAAGAGAGAACTACTATGTGTGCAGAATGATAATCCACTGATTTTTCTTTCTACTCTTTTGTTACTAATTCCTGAAAAATGTTTTTTCTTTTCTTTCTACTTATTTGTTACTAATGCCTGAATGATAATCCATTGATGTTTTTTCTTTCTACTATTTTGTTACTAATTCCTGAAAAATGTTTTTTCTTTTCTTTCTACTTATTTGTTACTAATGCCTGAATGATAATCCATTGATGTTTTTTCTTTCTACTATTTTGTTACTAATTCCTGAAAAATGTTTTTTCT